AAGAACCATACGGGGGATCCCTAAACCTGAATCACTCATGAAAGGAACAGATTCAAAGCAGCTCAAGAAACGACAAAAGATCTGACCTGAGGCTGGAGCTAGTGTGCAAGAAACATAGTTGAACTTAAAGCCGAACCTAACCTGCTATATCAACCCCTCACTGGAGAAAAATAACTAAACCCAGAATCTCTACTAATCTTCATAATGTCCAGGGTACAATCCAAAATTACTCAACATATGAAGCACCAAGAAATACAAACATTTTTCTCTCTACAGACAAAAATGGCTGTTCTCACATCCTCAATGATATAAGAAAAATAAATAAATTTCCTCCTGCTGAATTAAAATCTTATGAGAGAAATAAAAAAATCTGAGCAGAGAAATAGAAACAACAAAAAAGTGTTAACTGATTCAGCCATATTTCACCCATAGTTGCTGGGTGAAAGACCACAGGATGCACATAGTCTCAAAGTTATCATTTCACAGATCACTTAATAATTGCAAACAGAAAAAGGTGCTTTAAAACAGAGAAATTTGGTGGACAACATCTAAACCAAGTGATGTAACTCAGCATCACTAGTAAAGAGACAAATAAGGGTGTGATACAATGTATTATTATTATACTGTTTACAATTACAATTTTTTGTAACTATAGAAAAATACAGTTTTTCTACAGGTTTGAAATATCTTCCAAAAATTGGAAGAAAACACAAAACAAAAGGGAAAAAAAGCCAAAAGGAAGACTATTATAAATCCGAGGGAAGAATTAAAGCAGCTGTCCTGGGATCCATTTCCTTCCTTTACCAGGTGGCAACTCAGGCAACTTGTTAATCTGCTGATAACTGGTCCTGCCAGTAAATAGGCTGATGATTTTCCTTAGGAGGAAAGTCCTTATCTGAAGAATACTCTTAGCAGGATGTCCCTTGTTAAGGATGCTTACAGTAAACAAAGCCAGGATCTATGGGTTTATGAGGCATGGCACACTGGAGAATATCATGGAAACTACACAACCTTGGGGTACAGAAAGGGGGAGTTTCAAAATCTAAATGCTCTCTGCTATGATGTAGGAACTAGACGTCTTCATTTAGAGAACTCATCTACTCTGGGCCAGAAAGTGCATGTCTGATGCAGAAAGGAAGGACCCATGGAATCATGAAGCATCCCAGATGTCTCCTTGCTTTACCGGTACCTCTGACTCCATGTATCCTTGAAATTATTAGTAAAGCTGGATTCTAGGCAAAAGCTCTAATATGTGAGTCTGATTTGATAATATGAGTCTTTGTACTGGCTTAAAAATAAAAGGTGAGACTGTCAAAAATAATTAGAATCTTAGATTAACAATACTATTAATATTATTACTTTAGTAGATTGAGTTAAATGTTACTTTGACACAAATAATTAACAGTATTCTTACAAGATAAATGAGGCGTCTTTTACTCTACGGAAAATTTCTTTTTAAGCATTCATAAGAAAAAACTTACCAAAATTCACAGTATGTGAAATTACAGAGAAATATCTCAATGAATTTTTAAAAAAGCATATACAACCAAAAATATCACAAAGTTCTAATTAATATATGAATATACATGATGATAAACCTGTAACCCAAGGGGTATGTGCACCCTAGAACACTTCTCCATTGAAATAAGATTCTGCCTACTTTACAGAGTTGTGGTGAAGCTCAAACGATATGATATAGTTATTATATTATTTTGATGATGTATTATTTTACTTGGTTTCACATAATATCTCTACAGATCATAATCTACAACATTTTTCCTACTTGTGATCCACTAAGGACAACAACTTAGAAACAGGCCATGAAGGAGCCTGAGATAAGGCAATCCTAATAGCTGATGCAAGCTCAAAGACTGCTTTTAATAACACAAACCTGAGCATGTAAAAATAGGAGAAGAATGAACAAAAGGAGAAAGAGTTTTAAAATAGAGAAGTAAAGGGTAGCAGGCAGAGCAAGTTCTCACAGAAGAATACGTAAGTTCTCATTTTATAGGAATATTCAGCATAGGGAAAAGTAACGGCTTAAGAAAAGAGAAATTAAAAAGAAAAAGGCAGATATAGGTAACTCGGTATGTTTAGCTATGAGGAATTAAAGAATCTGAAAACATGTTGCACATCTTTGGGCCTTTTTTTCCTAAAGGGCAAGTATCATGTTCATTATATTATCTCATCCAATCTCTAGAATAGAGTACAGATATATTTCAGAAGTTCTCACCTTACTGAAGCAGTAAAGTGGCTAACACCATTAGCTGTATAACCAGTTATGAAGTCCACCATCTAACAACTATTTGACCTTAGGTAAATTGCTTAACTTCTCTAATCCTCAGTTTCCTATTCTGTAAAATAGGGAAACCAATGATAACTACCACATGAGAGAGTGAATATAAAACACACATGATAGGTCCTGGTACAGAGTAAATACTCCATAAAAGCTAGTTATTACTTTTATTATTGAGGAAGGGATTTCTTGTATATTTTGATGAATTTCACTGTATTCCTTTATTTACCATCTCTTTCTCTAGCCAAAAAACTTAACGGATCTGTAAAAGTTGATAAGTTACTTTAATTTCCAAAGAAAAAGAAACTGTTTCAGAAGCCAGTATTTATTGTAATATCAAAGTTAAAAGTATGACAACTATCAAAAAAGGCAGCAAAAACTTAGTATTCATGCATTACAGTCTATAAAATTAGAACCTATGATTTTATAGTATCGTAAAGATCAGGTCATTTTTTTTCTTGGCCAGAAAAAACACACTCCCATTTCTAAAAATATCTCAGGTTTTCTTCTTGAGGAAGTCATCTTGCAACAAAATACCCTATTATCATAGAAAGCAAGTATAGGACAGTATGTCATGAACAAGACTATAAAAATGTAGTGGTATATGAGCCACGAAAAAACTCATCTGGAAAAATGAGTAAGCAGAGGTTTTTCTCCAAATTTAAATTAATTTAATTTAAAGTGAGTTTTCTTTTTGTGATGATTTCTTTGATACTCCCATGTACATAATAAATACTTCCTTAAGAAATTACAAATGACCTTTCAATTAAAAACAATGCTCATATATTTGCTTCTTTTAGAAAAGTAGGCCAGTTTTGTAAAAGAACCAGGAATGAGGAATACAGTTTGACATGTAAGAAAAGCAAACATACAGTCTTACTCTTTTGTCCTGGTTGTTATATTTAAATTTAATCCAGTTTTTAAAAAGCATTACAAAAGAAGCTGAAGTCAGAGCATCTGATGCAGAACACCCTAACCACTGCCACGAATTCAAGCAACATATATATTATTAATTTATGAAGTCAAGGAATACACAGACTATGAATTTTAGCTTTCTGTGAGGCAACAATTCCATAGCGGTCTTATATAATCACAAGAAAAAAATAGAAAAGAAAAAACTATAGTCGTGACACAGTAGTCTCGTAAACCTATGAACTTTATCACTGAGTCTAATTTCCTATTGCTAATGAGGTTTAAGAACAACAGAAATCAAGCTTCACATATAGTTCAAATAGGACAACTCTTCTTTCTAATTAACTAAACTAAATTCATTACTGAGAGTTAAAGAAGAAAAGTATTCTAAAGATTAGTGAATATCTTTGTTCTTAAACTCTTCATACATTGTACATAGGCTTACGATATATAATGTATCCTTCCCATGGTAAAATAAAATCAGCAACTATATAGTAGTTCAAAGCCTCTGAATAATTTAGGACTACAAAAATGACTATTCAAAAGAAATTACAGGGAGAAATTTAGGTAAGGAATGTAATTTAGTAAGGGCCTTGGTTAAGGGAAAGTGAAAGAGACAAAGAGATAAACTATAACTTCCTATCTTAGTGTTATCCTCAAAATCAAACCTCTTAAGATTTTATTTCTCATGGGAACTTAATGAAAAGAACAAAAAGTATTATGAAAAAGCTTAAATGATGTGTAACCAAAGTGACACAAATGACAATTAGGAGCCAAATATAGAGTATTTTGACTCAATGATTGGATAAAACTTTGAGAAAGAACAGATATATCAAATAGACCCCATGAATTTTGCAATCCTGGGGAAAAAAATACCCCATAAAAAACAAACTTCACACCAAAGAAGAATCACGTCTTATATCTATTTCTATTCAGATTAATTGTTATACCTTTGTCTTATAAAACACTTCACTAACCCTTCAAAATGAAAAAGTAGTGAGAAGCTTTGATAATATAACTCAATTAAAATTTTTTAGAGAATTCTCTTGCTTTATCTATCTCAAAACTTGGAAGTTAGACCAAAATGTAATAGTCAAACATACATGCAAAATGACCCTGAAATTAAGATAATTGCTGGTACCAAATGTTGTTTTTAAGTTCTGCAATAAAACAGTCTCCCAGACATTTAATAGTATGTCATTTGGTAAATGAAAGTTTCCACAAAGTAAGAGCAGTGAGAAGACCTAAAAATTATGCTAGTGAAGAGTCTGGCTGAAAGAAACAAAAATACAGATCATTTTAGTCCAACACTAATTTTATTTCAAGTTACTACAGAGCTAAATAAAATGCTGACACCACCACACAAAAATTTATTGAGTTGGCAATAGGCAAAGCATGATGTCAGCCACCCAATATCACCATCCACGTTACCAAACAGTGTGAGCACTTTTATTCTCGAACTTAAATTAGACTTCATGCCTAAAGTTACAGTAAAAATAGAAACCATAGGCTTAAGGAATTATTAAACATAGATGAGTTTAGTTGGGCATAGTTTTGACTCAAATTAGTCTAGGACTTTAACAAATTCGGAAAAAACATGGAAAAATGCAACCTCAAATGTATTACAATTTTCTAAACGCGCTACATTCTTCACCAAATAGACTCATACAAATAAGTCTTAGTCACTTGCAATAATATTCAAACAAATAACACCACACACACACACACACAAAATGCAGGCTGACGGGAGACACAGAAACACACATATACACACAAGCACACAAGCCGTTACCTTCATGGCATGGATTTCTTCAAGCAATCTTTGTGCTCGTCTTTGGTTTTTTAACAGTGCATCTTCAGTCCCCCTGTGAAAAATACATTACAGTATGTAGCCAGGAAAAGCATTTATTTTAGACTCATATTATAATGAAAAGTCTCTTCATTTCTTTTGGAAAAGCATAATAAATCTCTAACAAACAATCCATTGCCCCCCACCCAACAAATACCCAGATTCCATCAACAAACCCAAGTTTTTGGCAAAGCAAGCATAATCCTGGCATTATATTAATGACTCTTACCACTGACAGTTTGCCTTCTAAAGCCTTACTCAGAAAGCCAAATAGTACTTTTTAATCAATCGATTAATAGTACACTGTATTTAATGGAACGGAAGTTTTACAAGCTACAATTAAAAGTTGGATATAATTTTATTCAACAAAAATTTGTTCTCTGGAATTAAAGAAAATCATAGACATTAAATATCTGATTATACCAGAGAAGAGGGCTATCTTCTGAAACATTTACTAAGAAAAGAACAAGAAATTAATCAGGAACAAAACACATTTGAAGACTGTTAAGTATTCACGCTTAAAGCAAAAGAACTATAAATAACATACTTTTTCTGTAACACCAATAAAACTGAAAATACAAAATACTATTTTTTTAAAACAATTGGGATGAACACAATGTGTTGATAGACACTTCCACAAGGTACTGGAGATTTCAAGTTAATTAGTAATTCAAGGAATAAAGTGATATAAAATCTTCTAATTAATTCAAGGTATTACTAGATTTGTTAAACTATACAGGCATACCACATAGATATTGTGGGTTCAGTTGCAGACCACCGGAACAAAGCGAGTCTCACAATAAAGCAAGGCACGAATTTTTTGGTTTCCCAGTGCATATAAAAGTTAATGTTTACACTATACTGTAGTCTATTAAGTGTATGACAGCATTATGTCTAAAAAAATAATGTGTATAACTTAATTAGAAATACTTTATTGTTAAAAAATGCTAATCATCATTGGAGCTAAAGTCACAATCTTTTTGCTGGTGGAGGGTCTTGTAAAAACATAGTATTTGCAAAGCGCAATAAAGCGAAACACAATATGATGAAGTATGCCTCTTTCAACATCCTAAAATAACTTCTAATAACATGAAACTCATACATAACCACAAAGAACTTTCATTCTGATAAGGCCAAAAGGAGATTTTTGAAAAAACAGCAAAATAATTCATCAAGTATTGTAGAAAGTATAGTTCAAACCATGTAAGGACATGCTGACACAGCACATTTTATCTCACTTAGATTCTCCCAAAATATAAAACAAAGTGCTGTATGTATGAGTAAGACATTTAATTATTCCTCTAGGTCTCACCTTCAAACTTTGTAAATACTGAACAAAAACAACTTTTAACATTTTATTAGTCACAGGACCATTACTTTAAATGACTAACTTTTTGGACTTCAGTCTGCCAACACTCCTGACAAGTTTTCGGATCACCAAAACTCGGATTCTCTTCACTTCTTTTCTCATCTTCACAACCTTTGAGGAATAAAGCCAAAATTAGAAAGGCTCTTAATTCAAGAAGAAACATACTTTACTTTGAGTCTCAATATTATGGATACATCTACCACTTTAACCAAATTTTTGTTTATATTCACAGTTTGATGAAACCAAACTTCTTCGATAATCAGTGAAGGAATAAGTCAACGATCTAAAAATGGATGAGGACTTAAGAGAAACAAGTTATGATTTTTAAAAGTCACAGCATTGCCAGTGATTAATATTTCAATATTACACTTATATCCTACTGGGCTTCAATCATAATAAACCGTGAGTTCCCTGAGATTAGAGACCATCATACTCATCTTTGTAACCTTGAGATTTAAAACAGTCTCACCCATCATGATAGGAATTTATTGAATGAGTGCTTGTATTAACAAAAGCAAATGTGTGAAAGTGATTATAGTTTACTTATTTATGGAGGACCCCTTACATTTATTTTCAGTCACAAATTATTTCAAGCATAACTTTAAAAGATATGCCAAAAACACAATGGCCCATTATGTGCATGTGAATGCCCACACGCGCACACATACACACACGTGCACACACAAAGACAAGCTTTAAATCATACCATTAAAGAGCAATACTGAACTCTCAGAACAAAAACATGGAAGTACTTGCCAAGAGATGGAAATATTCTAATGAGAAAGAACTACATGTTATAATAGTACCTAGTATAATAGGACGCTGTCATTTCATTTTACTAATTTTTTTGTCGAGGTAACAGTGGTTTACAACATTATATAAATTTCAAGTGCATATCACTATATTTCAGCTTCTGTATAGACTACATCATGTTCACCACCAAGAGTCTAGGTTCCACCCATCACTGTACAAATGACCCCCTAGTAACCACCAATTCGTTCTCTATATCTATGTTTGTTTGTTATTGCTGTTTTTTATCTTCCACGTATGAGTAAAATCACATGCTATTTGTCTTTCTCTGTCTGACTCATTTTGTTTAGTGTAATACTCTCAAGGTCCATCCACATTGTCACAAATGGCAAGATTTCATCTGTTTTTCACAGCCGAGCAGTATTCCATTGTATATATATATATACATCTTCATCTACTCATCAATCAAGGGGCATTTAGGTTGTTTCCAAGTCTTGGCTATTGTGAATAATGCTGCAATGAACATAGGAGTGCATATGTCTTTTTGAATTAGTGTTTTTGTGTTCTTTGAATACCCAGAAGTGGAATAGCTGGATCATATGGTAGTCCCACTGTTAATTTTTTAAGGAATCTCCATACTGTTTTCCATAGTGGCTGAACCAATGTACATTCCTACCAGCAGTGTACAAGGGTTCTCTTTTCTCCACATACTCCCCAACACTTATTTCTTGTCTTTTTAACAACAGCCATTCAGACAGGCATGAGGTGATGTTTCACTGTGGTTTTGGTTTGCGTTTCCTTAATAATTAGTGATCTAATTATCTTTTCATATGCCTGTTGGCCACTGGTATATCTTCTTTGGAAAAATGTTCAGATTCTCTATTTTTTAATAGGGTTGTTTGATTTTTGGTGTTTAGCTGTATGAATTCTTTATATATTGTGGGTATTAACCCTTTATTGGATATATGATTTGCATATAACTTCTCCCAATCAATAGGTTGTTTTTTCGTTTTGTTGATGGTTTCCTTTGCTGTGCAGAAGCTTTTCAGCTTGAAGTAGTCCCATTTATTTTTTCGTTTCCCTTGCCTGAGAAGATATATCCAAAAAGATGTTGCTAAGACCAATGTTGAAGAGTGTACTGCCTACGTTTTCATTCAGGAGTTTTATGTGTTAAGTCTTACATTCAAGTCCTTAATCTATTTTGAGTTAATTTTGTGTATAGTGAAGACAGTGGTCTTCTTTCACTCTTTTGCATGTGACTCCAGTTTTCCCCAACACCATTCAGTGAAGAGACTTTCCTTTCTCCATTGTGTTTCTTGGTTCCTTTGTCAGAAATCAGCTGCCCATAAATGTGTGGGTGTATTTCTGGGCTCTCAATTCTGTTTCACTGACCTGTGCGTCTGTTTTTCTGCCAGTTCCATGCTGTTTTCATTACTATAGCTTTGCAGTATACTTTGATATCAAGGAGTGCGATACTTCCAGCTTTGTTCTTTTTCTGAGAATTGCTTTCACTATGCGAGGTCTTTTGTTCTTCCATATTAATTTTAGGAAGTTTGAAGATTAAAGGCCTTTCTTTTGTTTTTCAGTAGGTGGCGCCATAGGGTTAGTTTTAGGTTTCTCTTACCTGTGCAGCCTCTGGCTATATTTGAGGCTCTGCACATTCCACCCTCCACCACCTCTATTCAAGGTGTCCTCGGTACTCACATCTGTCACCCGTGCCTCTGGGGATCACTGATGCTTTGCTGCACCTTGTGGTCAAAGGCACTGCTGTGGCTAGAATGTTAGAGTTCTGTGCAGGCCTCTGCTGCTCCTACCAGGCTCTGAGCTGCGGCCGGGCCCAGGATCACGGGGCTCCACCTCCATAGCGGCTCTGCTCCCTGTGACTGCAGAAGCTGCAGTGGCTGGCTGACTAGAGTTGCACAGGCATGTCTGCTGACGCGTACTGGGTTCTCCGAGGCTGAGGGCAGCTGGGTCAGCTGCTGCAACCAGGGGTTCAGGGACCTGGGAACTGCCTCTGCTGTTCCTGTTTAGCCTCTTCAATGTGCTCCAATCCACCTACCTTCATAATGGATCTCTGCATTATGTGCAGCTCTCTGGCATCCTGGTGTGTTGGGTGATGTTGTGTTCGTTGTGTTATGCATGTTTCACTTGCAACAGATTGAAGGGGAGAGACAAAGGGCCCTTGTTATGACACCATGATTATGATGTCTCTCACTCTAAGTTTATGTTTTGTCTATCATTATTAGGAGTCATACATCTTATAATTCCTCCTGTAATGTCATTCTTCTCCTTCTCCACTTTAGGACCTACATACAATTCAGTTCAGATATAATCTTTCCTATGAAACTTTCAATGACTTCTTCATTTAGAGATAACCACTCCATCCTTGGGTTCCCACTATACTTTGTAGATAGCATGTATCTCACTGTACTGTCTCTAATTGCTCATGTATCTGTCTTCTTCTATAGTCTGTGAGCTCCCAGAGAGCAGGGGCCTTGCAATACTTATGTAGTGTCTTCTGTGCCTTGCAAGAGTGCCTGGCACACACAATCCCTCAAATTCTTTTTGCCAAAATACCTTTCTTCAAGCCTTCTGCATTTGGCCATAACAGCTTCTCTTACCCTCCATCAATATCACCCACTCCCTTATTCGCTAAAGATATGGTAACCAACTTAGAATTTCTCTCCATCCTAAGTTTTGCCATCATTCTGGGTGATGTAGATGTCCACTTAAATAATCCATCTGATCTGATTGGATAAAGAAGATGTGGTATATATACACAATGGAATACTACTCAGCCATAAAAAAAGACAAAATTGGCCCATTCACAGCAACGTGGATGGACCTCGAGGGTATTATGTTAAGCGAAATAAGCCAGTCAGAGAAAGATGAACTCTATATGACTCTACTCATAGGTGGAAGTTAGTATATTGATAAGGAGATCTGATCGGTGGTTACCAGGGAAAAGGGGGGGTGGGGGTAGGGCACAAAGGGGGAAGTGGTGTACCCACAACATGACTAACAAAAATGTACAACTGAAATCTCACAAGGTTGTAATCTATCACAACATTAATAAAAACAACAACAACAACAACAACAAAATAATCCATCTGATATCATATCCTCACTTTTTTTTCTTGTTCTTTAGGTGAGGAAGATTGGTCCTCAGCTAACATCTCTTGCCCATCTCCCTCTTTTTGCTTAAGGGAAGACTGTTGCTGAGCTAACATCTGTACCAATCTTCCTCTATTTTGTATGTGGGATGCTGCCATACTTTGGCTTGATGAGCGGTGTGTAGGTCCATGCCCAGGATTTGAACTGGTAAACCCTGGGCCACTGAAGCAGAGCGCACAAACTTAACCACTATGCCACTGGGCGGCCTCAATATCCTCACTTCCTGGCTTCTTTTTTTCTAATTACCTAATCTATTCCATCTCAGCTACCCACTTCCATGGTCACAGCACAGTCCTTGTCATTAATCATTAACTATTCCATTTCTAAAACCAATAATTCAAATACTTCACATTGAGCCCACAACTTCTATCAGCTTGCTTGTTCAACTCCACCCACTACAATCATCTTTGACTTCACTGGGACCACCAGTTCACTGACCCCTATATTTTCTCTCAATTAGTCCCTTCCTTTTAATCTTCCTCCTTTGATTCTGTTTTAGTACAGGGTCAACACTTGCCAGTGCCTTAAACTCCCCTATCCTTCTGGTTAGCAAGCCCTCTAGTTAACCCTGAATGAAAACAACATTCTGAGTTCTTTATTACAGCACCCCAACAGCCAGGAAAGTCTTGAGACATTCTATCTACTACAAATTTATCATAACTAATCTCAAGAGGGTCCCTACACTTCCTAGCAATCCTACCCATTATTTTTTTGGTCAATTCACCCTATAATGACTATTTTAAACCTTGGTCTGCTTTCCTCAAACATCTGACCTCTTCTTCTTCCTTTCTCTTTTTCAATTTCATGGAGAAAATAAACATCACATGGGAACCACCACCTTTCTACCAATAGGAATGCAAATGTACTTGAATTACCCATCCTCCTCTATTAATAAAGTTACAATATAAGAAATATCCTTACACATTTCTGAGGTTAATCTTTCAATTGTGTTTTGCATCCCATCCTTTTCTGCCTTCCTAGAACCCTTCCCATAGACTATTCCTTTACTCCAGCATTGTCAGTCTCTTAAACGGATGTTTATCATTGGTTTTAAATCATGTTTGAGTCATTTTCACTGAAGATAAGACAAACAAAACATTCTTACTTCAAAGTTCACTCGGAGCACTCTCTCTCTTCAACCGCCTTAGAGCCATGCTTTTAGAGATGCTCATACCCACTATCTCCAT